CCCCCTAGTCCTTCCCCTGCTGTGGTTCATCCTGCTCCCCCCCTCCCTTACTTCCGGCTCCCAAACATCTGAGAGTTTCAGAGTCGGGTGCAGGGTTTGCCTGGTAGCGAGTCTTGGGCAGCTTTGGGGAATACCCCTTCCGGATCGGCGGCGGAGGCATTCAAGCCTGTTCCTCCTGCTGGAGCCCTTGGGCCGTGCCAGCGGGCCCCCTTCATCCCGGTTTTTCCGGCGGACTCTGCCTTTTCTCCAGAGGCAGAGGGTTTGGAGGACAGCTCAGCCCCAGTTCCTGACGTTGAGGTTCCCGGGGCTGGGGAGGAGTTGACTTGGGGTGCTTGGGCCCGTTTGACCCCGCTTGGGTGTTGGTACCCTTGGTGCGGGGCTTGTTACAGGGGGAGGAGTTTTCCTATCCCCCCTCCCTGTAAGTTTGACATGGGTGCGACTCCTCCCCGGGTTCGGTTCCGGGTCCTTGGGTTCCTCGGTTCCCTCCTTCCAGAGGTTTTCGACTTCCTGCATCACATCAAAGGTGGCGCGGATAGCCTTTGCAGCTTACCTCTTGCGAGACCCGGATTACACCTTGGTAATGGATCCTTCTTCTTTCAAGTTTGGCTCCTCGTTTTCCTTCTAGATGCGTTACGAAGTGCTGGAGTCTTCCTGGCTGGCAGACTACCCTTTCTTTTCATTGGGGGTGTGGCACTCGTTCTGTCGGGCCCGTGCGCTTGAATGGCGGGAAGTGACTACAGTTATTCAGGTTTACCTAGTGGGCAAATTTGAGCACCTCAATGTGTGCTTGTTCGCCCCCGTACTTCCTCGTGATGTCAGTCTGATTCAGCTTCACGCGCAGGTTCCCTCCCTTTGGCGTCCCTGGTGGCCGAGGATTTGCGTGCCCGTGGGCATTTGGCTTCGGTCTTTAGTTTCTTTTCTCTGCATGGGGCTTTCTTCGGACTGCCTCGGCGAGGATGCGCAGGAACTGGGATCTGGGCTGATGTCCGGTGTGTTTGCTTCGGCAGCTCGGTCGTCAGCTGCCTTGTTGAAGTTGTTTGCACCGATTCTGAGGGAGGCGGTGTCCCTGTTCTTTGCTTCTCGTCTCACGTGTCGTCAGGTGGTGCTTGTCCACTCATTGGAATTGGCTTGTGCTCTGGCTCTTAGATTTTCATCCCCTTTTTGTCCATTGCTGTTTGCAGAGTCTGCAGTGGTGCATTTTCTGCAAGTGACTTCGTCTAGTTGCCATCCTATGTTGGACTTGTTGGTTCTCCTGGGGGGTCGTGGTGGTCCTGCCCGGAAGAGTCGTGCCAGGTCCCGGGGTTCCTTCGGTCGTCGTAAGCCAGTAGTGCCAGATTTGGGGCAGGCACCTCCTCTGGAACCGTCGGCATCTGGTTGGCACAGTATCTCTCTGAGCGTCGGTCAGGCTCTCATAGGGGTCGTCGGCCCTTTCGCGGGTCGCCCCGTTGACTGGGCGATAGGAGAGAGGCTCGCACTATTTGCTCTCGCTTGGTCCCACGATTCGTGGGCATTTCCTCCGGCCTATGGTGGCGTTGGGTCGCTCCTCCTCCTTCAGGGGGGTCGGGGCTGGTAGGGCAGGCCTTTTCTCCTGTGCTCTGTCAGGTCATCCGGGAGTGGGTTCGCTTGGTTGTAGTCGAAACGACAACATCCCTGAGGTAGGTTTCCCGCCTGTTTTCAGTTCCGAAACGGGACTGTGTGGATCTGCGATTCATACTGGGCTTATCTCGTCTGAGTCCCTGGGTCTTTTGCCCCTCCTTTCGGATGACCACTCTGTCTCAGGTCTGGCTGCTTTTGGCGCCGGGTGCCTGAATGGTGTCTCTGGACCTCTGGGACTTGTATTGGCACGTCCCAATTCATCCGGGGTTCAGGGACTGGCTTACCGCTTTCGTTGCCTTCCATTCGGCTTGAATCTGGCACCTCGAGTGTTCATACACCTTACCCGAGACGTGGTGGCCCATTTGCGTCTGTTAGGGGTTCGGGTTCTGGCTTACCTCGATGCCTGGCTGGAGTGGGCTCCCAGCCAGTCCGTGTGTCTGCTCGCCAGGGATTTGGTTCTTTCCCAGCTCGCCGGGTTCGGGTTCTTGGTGAACTAAAGGAAGTCCCATTTGTTTCCCTCTCAGGTTCGAACTTGGCAGGGTCTTCTGTGGGACTCTCGGACTGCTTCCTTGTCTCTCCCTCTTGTGACGCTGTTACAGCTGCGGTCCCGCCTCCAGCTATTTTTGGAGGGCACCCAGGTCACACGTCGGTTGTTTGAGCAGCTGTGTGAGGGCCTGAACTTCGCTGTGCTGGTCTACCCATCGAGTCGGATCTGACTTCGGCAGATGTTCTGGTTTCTTCGGGGTTGTCCCTTCCGCCACTCTCGCAATCGATGGGTTCGGATCCAGGGAGCCTTGCGTCGGCTGCTGCGTCGCCAGCTTCCTCTGCGGGTTTTTCGGGGTTCTGTGCCGTGGCGCCTCCCTAAGCCCTCGCTCGATGTGTTCACGGATGCCTCGTCTCTCGGCTGGGGTTTTGTGACAAGTGCTCACCAGGCCAGGCAGAGTCAGTGGGGTCTGTCCTTCCATCGAGCTCACAGCACGGCGTGGGAGTTTGCGGAGGTGTGGCATTCTCTTCAGAGGATTCGGGTCACTCGAGGAGCAGGGATCCAGCTCCATTCAGACTGCTCCCCGGTGGTTCATTGCTTGAACCGCGGGGGATCGATGCGTTCTTTGGGGCTGATCGCTTCAGGTAACTCGTCTGCTGAGTTCTCGGGGTTTGGCTCTCCTGGCGGTTCATGTTCAAGGGGTGTCAAACGTCTTGGCGGACGGCCTGTCGCGGTTCATTCCCCTTTCCACGGAATGGACGGTCGACACCAACTTGTTCAGTTGACTCTGCCGGACGTACGGGTGCCCAGAGGTGGACTTCTTCGCATCGGCGTGGTTGAGGCATCTGCCAGTTTATGTGGCGCCGTTCCCAGACTGCGAAGCCGTCGGGGTCAATGCCTTTTTGCTGGACTGGTCGAGGTGGAGTTACCTGTACCTTTTCCCACCGGTCTGGTTGTTGCTCCGGATCCTGGCTAGGTTGGAGACTTACCAGGGAAGAGTAGTCCTGTTGGCTCCTTGGTGGCCGGCCCAGCCCTGGTTTCAAGAGCGTCTTGCTCGATGTCCGAACCCAAGGGTCTTCCCACGGCTCCGCCTCTTTCAGCAGTTTGATCCGGTCCGGTACACGGCTGGTTCGATCTTCTCCTCCACTCTTCACATTTGGTCTTTTTGACGCGGGTGTATCACCACTTGTATAGTGATAAGGTGGCTTCTTTGATGGTGTCCCACCTGCGAGTTTTGTCTAGACGGCAGTATGAAATTTCCTGGCGGTTCTTTCGGCATTTTTTGTCTCTACGTAGGTTGTCTTCGATTTCTGATCGGGTTGTTTTATCATTTCTCTCTTGGTTGTTTCAGGACCGTCATCTTATGCCAAATACTGTCGTCTTATATCATGCAGCGCTGGCAGAGCTGCTGCAGCTTGCATTCGGGGTGGATGTCACTTCTGCTCCATTCCGCAAGCTTTCTCAGGTGTTTTTTCACCTCCGGCCTGCTCATGCGCCGCCTTCTCCGTCCTGGTCGTTGGACCGGGTGCTCTCTTGTCTCTCTTCTCCTCGGTTTGTGGTGGCCCCCTCGGTTCAGGTCAGGACTGTTTTTCTAAGGCTCTTATCTTGTTGGCATTGGCCTCTGGGGGTCGGGTCGGGGAGCTTCATGCTCTCCTGCAGCGAAGGGGCTTTCTGCTCATTCGGTTCTGGTGGTCATTTTGTTCTTTTGCAGCCTTCTCCTTCTTTTCTGGTGAAGAATGAGTCTGCTGCTTTCTGAAGGGGTCCTTGGGTTGTTGATGCTTGGTTGGTTCAGCCGGGAATGCATCATGTTCTGTGTCCGGTTGCGGCTCTTCGCCATTATCTGCGTGCCACGGCCTCCGTGGCAGGGGGGACACTTTTGGTGGACCCGGTTTCCCTTCTTCCCTGTTCCAGGGTGCAGGTCTCCCAGGTCGTTTGCAGGATTATTCGCTCCAGCCAGCCTGCAGTCTGTCCTCGTGCCCACAACGTTCGCAAGTTCGCGACTCTGGCTGCTGTTTTTGGGAATATGTCCTGGGCTGACATTCGGGCATGGGGCTTTTGGAGGTCGAACAGGGTCCTGGCCACACGGTATCTTGTTAATGTTCCTGGCCCTTCTCGGTCAAGTGTAGCTTTGGGTCGCAGGTTGCAGCTAGTTATTTTGACTTCGAGTTGAGTAGCGAGTGACGAGTGACGACCGCCTCCCAGGTAAGTCCCTCTTTTCTTTTTCTTTGGTTAGGTACCTCCGGGGCAATTGAAGGGGCTCTCCACAGAAAACCAGCGTTGAATGTAATGAAACGCCATTTTCTGGGTGAGTCCCGGAGGCTCCCCAGCATCCCTCCCTCCCTCCCTCTGGTCGGTGTTTTTTTTCGCGTTTTTGATACTCAGCCTCTGAACTGGGGAGAGTTGCCAGCACGGAGGTCTGGGACCCCTCCGTCCCCCTCTCAGGGAGGGGGGGGTTGCGCAAACGGAGGCGCGGCATTTGTGGTGACATCATACTGATTTCCATGGTTTTGATTGGGTAGTTCTGTTGCTAGTTCGGCTTTTGGTTTGCAATTATTTAATCAGCAGTAGTTTGTTTTGGAATTCCTACTTTTCTGGGTGCTTAACCTGGTAGATGGCAGACAAAGACTGCTTCCAATTACATGGGGGTGTCTTTAGGCCATTGCTCCTCGTGCCTCTCTTGAGGGGGCCAGGTCTGGCTCTGGTCCCTGGTAGGCCTAAAACTCCTTCGATTGACTGTTGCCACGGTCTAATATATATACACATCAGCCCGGTATAGCTCCGGGGAGCCTCCGGGTCTCACCCAGAAAATGGCGTTTCATTACATTCAACGCTGGTTTTTTTGTCTTCTCCAGGCAAATACCTTCCCACACTATGAGTGGAATTTTTTTTCCTTTTTTATGTGAATATATATATTTTTCAGGATTTGATAAGCAAGTACAAGAGAGTCGTGGTGAGGCAGAGACTGCTCTAAATCGTGTGGCAGAAATTGAAAAACTCATTGGAGAAGCCGAGGCACGTACTCTTGATGCCGAAGAAGCACTCGTGGGTGCAGAGTCTGATGCAAAGAATGCACGTGATATTGCAAAGGAGGCACAGAAGACTGCAAGTGATGCCAGCATAGAAGCTGGTGATGTGCGTATCAAAGCAGATGCCACCAAAGATGAAGCTAGTTCTCTTAAGGATGAAGCAGACCAGCTAGCTAGTAGGGTAGCAGGGACAGACTCTACTGTAAGTACATATGAAGCTCAGGCAGATGAAGATCATCAGCAGGTGATGGAAGCTCAGGAAAGAGCTAACCAAGCCAAGGATCGGGCAGATGTTGCCAGTGCTAAAGTACGCGAGGCATATGAAGTGGTACAAGAGATCCTAGATATACTGGAACGTTCACCAGACCTTGATCCTTCACAGCTAGATACCTTAGAACAGCGCCTTGAAGAGGCATGGCAAACCTACTACCAAAGTGGTGTCGAAACTACAGTTACTGAACTTGTAGAAGCACGTAGTTGGCAAGAACGTCAGATATCAGTATATGAAGAGGAGATTAGAAGACTACAAATTGAAGTTGTCAATATAGAAGAAATAAAGATTTCCCTTCCTGATGGCTGCTATAGTCAAACTAAGCTAGAACCTTAAACTCAGCATTAGGATACTAATTATACACTTGTACAAGAAATCAGTAAAGTTACATAAACAAGGTGTGTGTGCTTAAGATTTACAATAGACCCAAAATAATAATTTAGAGGGGGGGTTAAATACTAATTGATATATCAGTAGCAAGATTAGCATGATTGCCAATTACACTGCACTGCCAATTCATCCATACTCATACTGTCTCCTGTAAATTAAGCAATACAGGAATCTTAATGCTCTCGCTCTCTCTCTCTCTCTCTTTCAAAAACTGCAATTTTGCAGTGACATTGTAATATAACTTGTGAAAAGTAATTTTAGTCAGTATTTTGTGAGTGTTCATTAGTATAAGGTGTAGTTTTAAAGGTACTTAAAACTACTGTATTTGTGAAGTCACACATGTTCTTTAGGTGCTGCTATAGTTTAATCTAATAATAGTGTGAAAGTAATTACATTTTAAGTATAGGTTTGTGAAAAATGAAGCATCATTCTGGCCATCTTAAAAACTAACATTATAATGTATTATCAAATTTTTTTGCAGACATTGTTTTTATTTTGTTTTGAATTCTATTTGGAAACACTGCTTAGTAAGGAATGTTCTAAACAACTATATTGTTTTTAAGTTAACACTTTTATAACAAAAATGTTTGATTAACACAACTTTATCGACATGTCTATAGCAACAATTTTCAAGCTCTCCATTTAACATATTACATGGTTTAAAATTTTGAAATATGTAATTTGCTCCATAAGCTTCATATATTTGCTAGTTGTCTATGCAGTGAAACGAGGCTTCGTGGCCAGAACTCCTTCCACAGGTTCAACCAAAGATGTTGTGAAGAATGTGAAATGATGGCAAGTCCTTCTATTTTTTGCTGTCATTATAGTGCTTTGTGTTTTTTTTGTTTTTATTAAAAAATGCCAATCTTTATACTGTATAATGTGGACAAAATAAATTATACTGTAATTGCTTTTTATTGTTAAATGTATCCTTTTTGCACATTATGATATTTTAATACAGTTTTCTTACTAGTTTAGAAATTTGGTAAATGACCAGTGAAACTTATGGAATGCTCTGGTCTTAGAAGCAGAGTATTGCTCCTGCAGGTAAACCAACATCATGGTAGGTGTTTCAAGCTCCCATTGAGGGAAATCAAACATCATTGTTAGTGTTTAATGCCCCAATATATGTATATTAACATTTTAATAATAAATGGACAGACTAGGAAAATATAAACATGGAACTTACAAACATTCAATGAGAAACTGTTCTAAGTACTGTAATAAAAATCCCACACAAGGAAAAGAACAACTGACTGTCAAAGCATATAAAGTCTCTCTGAAATATGATCCCTTGTAGAAAGCTGGAAAGAGAAGCAGCTTAGAGAATGCAGACGTACTACAGAAGGAAAATATAACGGAAATGCTTAAGCAGACAATGCAAGAATAATTTAAACAAGAAGATTGAAAAACGAAGTTGTTTCTCCATTTTCTGATGTGTAATTTGGTCATCATATTTTCAGCCATGTTATTGTGACTCATTATCTCCTGAAGACATATAACTAGAATAGAAAGCCATACAGGACCAAATAAAAATCCAAAATATTTCTTCACATGCAAAATTGAAATAAAAAACTTGTAAGTATAGGACCTATACTTACTAGTGAAGGTTCATACACAGAAGACGACAAGGAAATTAGTGAAATACTAAAAAAGGAGTATGAAGACATGTTTATCAACTCAATAAACAGCATGAAAGTAAAAGATCCAAACAGCTTCTGTATGCATGATATTCAACCATCCTGGACACAACTATGCCACTCACATGACTAACATCCTAGATACAATGCCCATGACTAACACTCACCATGACTAACATCCTGGACACAACCATGCCACTCACATGACTAACATCCTGGACACAACCATGCCACTCACATGACTAACATCCTGGACACAACCATGCCACTCACATGACTAACATCCTGGACACAACCATGCCACTCACATGACTAACATCCTGGACACAACCATGCCACTCACATGACTAACATCCTGGACACAACCATGCCACTCATGACTAACATCCTGGACACAACTATGCCACTCACATGACTAACATCCTGGACACAACTATGCCACTCACATGACTAACATCCTGGACACAACCATGCCACTCATGACTAACATCCAGGAAAGATAGTCAGTTCTCATAGGTAAGTAACAATTAGTCATTTCTGATCTGGATGTTATGCTACTTAATGTGTTCCAGGCTACACATCAATATCAGGTGTCAACTTATTTACAACTTAGTGTGGATACCATGGTTTAGAAAGTGTAGTGCATGTGTGATTTAATAGATATTTGATTTATTTATAAACAGAAGCCTCATAAGTCAACTAATTTATGTCTGCCTTGGGCAGCTCACGATTCACTCTCCTGAAAAATTGGGCTGGTATTATTACTGGTCTGCACAGGCATAGGTTATTGGCTCAGTGAGTTTGTGTGAGAGGTTATGGGGGCATAGGCAACAGTCCAGACAGTGGCCACAATCATAGCAAACATTAACAACAGAAGCAACAAACGAAACACAATGATAGAAGGCCAGGCCTCCTTCAACCATGTCTGCTCGATGCTCTCCTGTGTCACAGTGATGAAGGAGTCAACAAAGCTGGCAGTGGCTGGATGGCGTACTAGCCTCAGAGTAACAGCTACCACTACCATTACCACCAACAGGTATACCAGCACCCACATAACAGCACATGTGCCCTGACGGACCTCCGTCACAATGCTCACTGCCCTGTGGAGCAAAATTGGGTGGAAGAAGAGCTTTGCCCACCACAGCAAGATGAGACACAATAGCAACATTCTGGTGACCCATGGCAGCACAATGGGTTGGCTGAAGGTGAAGGGATCACACACGTTTTTGATGACATGGAGCCATGCCAGGTGGAGTGTGATGCACAAGGCCAAGTGCAGCACAAAGCACATCACATTAATAACCAGCAGCATGTGTTCCAGCCTTGTCGCTGCTCGTCCCTTGCACAACATTCCGCAGTGAGGTGTCTCTACCAGCACTAGAAGGAGCGTTAGGATGGGCAACACCAGTAGGAAATACTCTGTGGTTTGTGCCTCATCATGGTAAACAGACCAACTCGCTATGGTACGGTGAATCTTGTCGCATGTGTAGGTCACATTTTTGCTCCATTTATATTTATATAAATGTGGAAAATAGTTTTGTATTTTCTCGACAGAAGTTTCATTAAAGAAGGTCCATGAATTGTTGCCAATCCTAATGAAGTGTAACTGAAGGCGGCATATGTGGACATTACTCAGTGCAGTCATGGAGAAAGAGACGAAGAGAGAGTGACGATCCAGCCAGTGAAGAGCCCGCAGTCGCGTGAGAGTAATCTTCCAGGTGTTGTTTCTGTCCATGTTCATATGGAGGCCATGACCCCCGCTGGGGTACACACGGTATCCTACCTTTGCGGCGGCGCTCAGCAAATTGCAGTAACCGAAACCTGATTCACATTTTCCCATGGGACATGGGGTTTCCACTGATTTGTTGCTCTCAGTGTCTGACAGGGAACAGTTGTGGGGGCTGATCAAGAGCGTCTTCCAGCACCCGAAGCAGGTTTTGTTTACCTGGTCGCTGGTGATGTGGGCAGTTTGACAGCTGGAGTCGGGGGCATAGTTTACCTTGCATTTGATGTGCTTGGCTCGGATCTGACGTAAGGTGGGAATCCCGAGGATGGTGCCCCAGTACAAACTATAGTTCGTGAACAGGGTGTCCAGAACACTCTCCACATTGTTAAGGACATCTTTATCTTCCATAACAACAGATTTGGTAGAGATCCCAATAAGGTGAAAGGACTCGATGCCTTGATGCAGAAGGTACCGGGTAGCAGTGTCATCCATCAAAGGGACGAGAGCACAGTAGGAGGCCAGGATGGCAAACCCCATGCAGGGCCCCACATACTCTCGCACAACCCGGACCCATTCTAGCTTCTGTGCTACCTTCCTGAAGCAGTACCATAGCTTCATGTACATGGATACCATCTTGAATCTACAGGGATAGAAATGTTATCATTGTTTATCTAAAAAAATTATAAACTACTTTAAGAATAACATATTTAATATTTAGAAGAAAGTACTAAACATTGTCTTAAAAAGCTAATAATTATTAATTGTGGACAAAATGTATTGTAAAAATTATCTAATTACAAAAATATCATCATATTTCTTAGCGATGCGGATTCTCACCACCACCTTTGTAAGAAGGCTTCATGTTGCCCACATTAAGCTGATCCACAGTAATTTTTTGATCAAGAAAACAGCCTCTACTGTAATTTCCACCTTGTCCTAATGAGTATGAAATACTCTACTTGCTGATTAGATGTCCAACACTGGGGGAACCTCCTTCACGAGTACTGTACCTGGGTGAGAGTCGAGGATATTGGGGAATATACATGTCTCTGTTGTATATCTGCCAGACCGTTACCCAATCCCACACATTCAGGACTTCTCTAACATGTTACATGGGGCAACAACATTCTCAAAAGTAGATTTGGTGCGAGCATTTCACCAAATCCCAGTAGAGCCAGTGGACATCCTCGAAACTGCAATTACAACACCTTTTGACTTGTTTGAATTTATTAGAATGCTGTTTGGTCTTTGTAATGCAGTTCAGACATTCCAACGCTTCATTGATCAGGTCCTCAGAGACCTACCCATCTGATATGCCTTCATTGATAACCATCCTAATAGCGGTCGCTCTCAGGCTGACCATCGGAAGCATCTTCGTATACTTTTTGCTCGCCTCTGCGACTATGGTCTGCAGATTAATCTAGAGAAATGCATTTTCGAGGTTCCCGAGCTCAACATCTTGGGACACTGAGTGTCTTCCACAGGTATTCTACCACTGGAGGAGAAGATTGAGGCTACCCGAGATTTTCCGACACCCACCACAACTAAGAAGGTTCAAGAATTCCTGGGTGTGGTTAATTTTTACCATAGGTTTATCCCACACTGTTCTGACTTCCTGAAACCTTTATATGACCTCCTGTGTGAGCATAAGCAGGCGTCCAAAGTACCCCTGCAACGGTCATCAGAGGCAGAGGTGGCATTCACCAGCCTTAAGCAGGAGCTAGCTCAACTCACTCTCCTCGCCCATCCAGTATTCAATGGGACAACTAGCCTCTCAACGGATGCTTCCAACACTGCTATAGGAGCGGTACGCCATCAATTTATTGACGACACCTGGTGACCCTTTGCTTTCTTTTCAGGAAGTTTAATGCCGGAAGAGACAAAATACACCACATTTGACAGGGAACTCCTTGCTATACAGTATATTTAGCCATACACTTCAGTCAGGCATTTTCTTGAGGGACGTGACTTCCACGTTTGCACCGACCACAAACTGGTGCCCTGGCAGCAAAAGGAGATTCCCACTCGCCGCGACTCACTCGACATTTGAGCTACATATCCCAGTTCACGACTGACATCAGACACGTGAAGGGGACTGAGAATGACGTTGCCGATGCCTTCTCTCGACCTGGCTTGTGTGCACTTTTTCCCGAGACGACCCACATCGACTACTCAAATTGCTAGAGCCCAGCGACATTACCTGGAACTCCTACAATTGCGCACCTCTTTCTCGGCACTTTGGCTCGTCGACGTACCTGTGCCTAATTCCGAGGATACTATCACATTTGACACGTTTCTCATTGGCGTCCTACGGCCATATATTCCAAAGATCCATCGGTGGAGGATTTTCACAATACCCAGCAACCCAGCCCTGACGAACTACAACATGGCCTCTCACTGGATTTCATCCATCATTGCTGCCTTCTGTAAATTGCTGCCACCTGCCATGTAACCTGCAACCTTGCCTCAGCTCTTTCTCATCATGATCATTGCTTACACGTCCGACAGTCTCATCATTAACTACAGCCAATCCTGCCAACTCTGTT